ACTTGGGATTAGGAAGAGGCCAACCCGAGCTAATACTCCCTGAAACAGCCCTGGCACAGCAACAGCCGCGCCGACTTTCATTTAAAGACATGGCTGGAGGAAGAGGTGCGGTTGGGGTGGCATGAAAATAACACCTGCTGCGAGGGCAAGGTGGTTGGGACCTCTCCCTGCGTGGAGAGGGCTGCCGGGCTTGGACTCTGCCTCCAGGGCCGCGTTTGATTTTTATCCAGCGACTTTTTTTTTTCTTTTTAATGTGAATTGCGGAGTAAGCGGCGTTGGGAACGAAGCCAGCTACCTGCTCCTGCCTCCGGTCAGGGGAGTTCCCTGCCGCCAGGCCGCAGTCAGGCTCCCACTTGCTCCCGCACTCAGGCTCTGCGGATCCTCTCCGCAGGGTGGCACGACTCCAAGAGGCAGCGCTGAGCCCTCGCCTACGGCCTGGGAAGGGACAGGCGGATTTGAATATCCCTCGGGAGAAGGAGAACTTCAACCTGAGTTTGACCACTTCTGAGGAAAGCTTTACGACCACTAAGGCGTTTGCATGGAAAGCACCGCGCTGAGCATTTGGATGTCAAACAGCGCGGGCAGGGCCGCGAGCCGAGGCCTCGGCAGCGGGGCAGGTTTGGCTCCCTCGGCAGGGCCCGAAGCCGGCAGAGCGTGGGAGCCCTCGCGGGGCGCAGGTGCCGCCGTCCGGAGAGGGGAAGCAGCTCGTTACTGACGGGGATATTTAGGCAAAAAGAGTAAAAAGTGCCGATTCAGCTGTCCCCGGCCTGCGGCGGGTAATCCGCGGCCCGGAAGCTGCCCTTGGCCCTGGCAGGGCCCAGCTCTGCCGCTTAAGACCATGAAATCCAAGCAGGGCTGGTCACCTCCTCACCATGTGCTGAATTCACCTCCAACTTTCTTCTCACATAGAGCTTACGGGGCAGATCTGTGCTGGCAGCGCCAGCATTGCACAGGGAGTCTTGAAACCAGCAGCTCTGATCTCTCTTTTTAGAGTTAACACATCAGACTAAAACTTCTATCACCAACAGAGTGCTTTTACCTTAAGTGTTTATTTAAACAGAGGTTAAGAGTCTGGGCTGCTTGATGGTGAATCGGATCATAAAACGCTCTGTAGCCCAAATGACTACAGAAAGTTCCTATGGTTTTACAAACTATTGTACCTCTAATTGTGTCTCTAATTCCTGTAGTCACTTCAAATAAGAGGGTTTTTATAGAAGTTTTTGCACTATCTGTTCTTTTGGTTTTTTTTTTTTTTTTTATAATCGCAAACCAATGCCAGGAAGTGGGCAGTGGCTGCATGGAGTTGGTATATAGCAATATGCTTGTGATTAAAGAGCATGTGTATCCATATATTTTGAAATACTGCAAGCCTTTTGTTATTTTTTGTTATTTTGTTATTTGTTTTGAGTCTTTAAATCAATATATGGAAGAAGCGGAAGTTAAGCAGCATCGTTTGGAAGCTGCAAAGAAAGTCATTTGAGAAAAGAAGCACATTTTAGTCCTGCTGAAAGATTTTAAATACAAAATAGAAGATATGCAGCAGAAAAGTGATATGTTTTTGACAGAATAAGAGATATTTTACTGAAAATTAGGATGGATGAGCAGGTTGAAAAAGTGGAAATATTTGCAATCCATTTGAGACATTTGTCAACAGAATTTTATAGTTAGAGGTGTGTAAAAGCTGCAGAATTTTATTTCAGGCCCTTTTGGAAACAAAGTTTGCTGCAAGATTGCAATTTAGATTTCAGAGCAGTGTCTGCCACGTACAGCCCTTAGTTCACCTAAAACCACTAAAAGCTCAAGTTCTGCAACAGTCTGTGCTAAAAATGATTTTTAGGAAGAATTTCCCACGCGCCTCGACAAAGAGATTATTTAAAAATCTCTCCTAAAGTTTAGAAAAATATCATAACCAGGCTCTCAAAACTCTGAAGACACCTGCTGGTGGAATTTGATATCATCTATCTAGAGCATTAAAAAATTCCCTTTGGGGCTTCTGTTAAAAGAAGTGGAGGCTTTAAGTCCTTCTTTAATTCCTGCTATCAAAACAACTGCCTCATACCAATTTTCTAACACCTACAAGGAATGACCCAAAGGCTCTGTAAATGTTACTCTTCCACTCTGTGGCACAAGCAACAGTATATTCCCTATATTCCCTCCTGTACATAGGTGCTGGTACTGCTCAGGTGGGGAGAAGATCCCTGTAATATCCATCAGTTTAAAGTCTGTACCCATGGAAAAAGAGAAAAATGAGGTATTAACTGTGTGGGTTTTTTTTCCCACCTCTAAAAAACATTTTAGATTGCAGTTCAGTTTTCTGTGAGAAGGACACTGCCAAACACAGGGAAAAGACAGGATGGAAGAGTGGATGGAAAGCTACCTACTGAGATGCAAGCAAAGCTGACAAAGTTTCATTAATTCTCATTAGAGACACCAGATAATTCTCTGATAGAAATTAGAAAAAAGATCTCAAATATGATACATATATAGCTATATGAAAAGACTATAAGACACAGTGTCAGCAGTAGTAGAGGACTGGGCAAAATGACCTGAGAGGTCCTTCCCAATCCTAAGTGCAAATTCTCTTGACACAGAAACCCTTTGGCATCTTTTTCACAGCTTTCTTCTGTACCATTTTTTCTGTTTCTGCATTCGGGATACAGTTACTGCACCTTACAACACTTGGGCACATAATGGATTTACACATTTTATTTTTTTTTTATTTTATTTTTTTTTTTGTGAAGTTCTAACATCCTATTTGTCTTCTTGATGACTACTAAGGGCTGAGCAGGTATTTTCCAAAAACTACTCACAAAGACACCAAGATACATTTCCTGAGGGCTACAGCCAATTTATAGCCCACCACCATAGATGCAGAAATAAGCTCATTTCCCCTTACACATCCCTTTGCAGTCATCTAGGCTGAGTGAGAAAATGCTCAGAATATTCAGTTATTTTTATAATTTTGACTACTAAGATCAGTTTTCAGAAGTTTGTCTTCTGTCCATTTGTCTAAAGCATCAGTGGATAATTTAACAACAGAAGTACCAACGTTGACTTTTGTGGCCAGGTAATTTTCCTTCTTTAGGAAAGCTCATGATTCAATTCCTGTCCTCTGTGGCTTTTCTTTTCTATCTTTTTTTTTTTTTTTTTTTTTTTTAATATTTAACTAATTAGAACTTTAATCTGTTCAAAACTATAGAAAGGTTTTCCCTCTTATTCTTTGAGGGCTTACATTTCTGGTGGACATTGGCAAATGACTGGAGAACACCAACAATACCAGATCAACTGAAATACCTCTACCTATCAGCTCCTGGACTTCCAAGCATACAGATTTGAGGCATTTTCTTCTGCAAAATCTATTTCGATACCTACACAATGTATCATAAGTACCTTAGTAATTCTATTTTTTCAGTTCTATTTTTTCACTTTCCACACTAGTTATTTAATTTCTATCAAACAAAACAATTAAACAACACTGCACTTGGGACTCTTGGGAAGCTACCACATAGTTTTATCAATTTGTCCTGAATCTGCCCTGCCGACACTTCAGTTAAAACAGCTCTTCAGACAGTCACACATCAAAATGCTCCAAGAAAGAAAACTCTCCGAGATCCATTAAATGAACACCAAAGCAAAGATTTATTTAGCCTTTCTGGGCTAGCCTCCTGTTCCTGAAATGCTCTTGTTACCCTGCAATTGCTTATAAACTCTCCTGATCGACAGGCTCCCTACTCTTTACGTATTTGAAGAGGTTTTTTTATTATGGTTTCTGCAAGTTTAGAAAGTTGTTCCTCAAAATTGATTTTACCTGCCTGTTCAGCTTGTCGGGTTTAACGTGCCTGAATGTGTGCTCTCTGCTATTTTCTCTGTTCAAACACGACCTCCGCTTTCCGAAAGATGTCTTTTCACTTCCAACATCTCTCTGCTCTTCATTTTAAAAATACCAGCTTTTCAGAGGGCTCTACTCAAGCCTTTCTAATAGCAGACAGACTCATGCCTTCCTGAGCTTTCATTTTACCATCTTTGCTCGAGTTTTATTCCTTGCAACTGTCTTACCCATTTACCTGTTCCTTTTAATTTTCTTTTCACCCCAAAATTATAACAAACCTTCTGATATTTATGTAATGAATTCCTTAAAGTTAAATTTTATTGATCGTATTTTTTTTGCATCTCCCAAGATAGGAAATTTCTATTTCTCCGGGTCACTGCGCATTGTTTGTGGTTAAATACGTGCTTTTTTTCCTGTTACAATAGTCCATTTCCCTCTCATCAATCACACTGCTTTCCTTCATTCTTCACATCAAGTTCTTACTCATTTTTTTTCTGCATCTACCTTTAATTTTATTTCTATTCCTTTTTCTCTTCCAGGAAAGGGCCATTTTTTCCCTTGTACTTTGCTGAATACACTCTTGACAACAAGAGCCTCAAACAAATACAGTTCTATCTTCCAAGGAAGATTTCTCCATTTGCCAAGACAAATAGGAGCCCTGTATTTCTCAAGTACATTCCTCCAATTATCTCAGTCTGCATTCCAGTAGGGAGAATTTTACAGGCAGTTTTAGGACAGTGTTTCAGTCATCACTATGTAATAATACTAATTACGAACTCATTTGTCATCTTCAATGTGGCACCTCCAGCTCCATGTTTCCAAGATCACTATATCCCCTTAACCTTGTTCTTTCTTTCCTGCAAGACTACAGGAGTTCCCTCAATGTTTCTTGACACCACCAATGTAATTTACTTAGATTAATCTTCTGTAATGATTTTTGTAAAAATGAGTAAGGAGAATCACTGACACAGATGACTGATTTTCATGGAGGAGAACTTTCAATCCAGCTGCGCTGCTCCACTATCTCATGCATTTATTAGGATCTCATTTCCTTCTGGAGCCCTCAAGGGAGATTTCACAATCAGCACACCTGGTATGTGTAATGTAAATAATTAAGGGGATGCCCTCTCTAACAAGCTATGCAGAAAGGCTGTTCTGCTGGAAGAAATGGCTGTCTTCATCTTATGAGAAGAAAGAACTAGAATTGAGATCCTCTCAAGTTTCATCTTCAAACAGTCAACATTAACTGAACTAGATGGAGTTGAGGCTCTTTCTGATTTGTACAGGAAGCTACTCAATGGGTATGTCTATGAGTTAAATCAGCATTTTTCTTTCTACACTGTTAGGATAGATGGTACTTTATCACCGATCTTCTCTTCTAGAAGATAATTTATGACTTGCTTTAACAAGAGATTGCGACTCCAATTTAACTTAGAGTCACATGAAAAGTAATTTCTGCAACAAACTTGGCAATACACCAGTAGTTTCCAAACTTCTTTGAATGACAGAAATTCTTGGGGCAAAGACAACAGACACCAAGAGAAGCTCCCCAAACATGTTTTTATTTATTTTAACAACTTCCAAGGACAGGGTGGCTGTCGTAACCCAAGTTCAGGTTGTTTTTGTAGGTTCTTTCACAGACACTAAGTGCACTAAAGTCTTCACGGCTTGGGCTTCCAAGACATACAGTTCTTATATGAACTGTGTTATATATCTGTTATCTTATATCTGTTATCTCTCTCTCTCTATATATATATATATATATCTGTGATATGAACTATAGTATGAACTATAGAATAGTTCATATAGTTCCAAGACATATATTCCAGGACATATACTATGTACCAAATGGATAAAATGCCTTGCAGGACATGTAAGTTTATGCCTGATGACTCTCAGTAATGTTTTGGTAATATCTGCACAATTTTGATTTGAAACATTTATTGTGGGGCTTTGGGGGGCTTTTTAACTGCCCCCCAGTTGCTGGATGAGGATTGCCTATCTAATAGCTCTCATTCAAGTGTTTTCCATCTTTCTGTGTCTTAGCACCAGAAAACTTAATTCTGCAGTCTTCTTTCTGCTACCATTAACTCCCTGTCATAATCTGTACTTAAAACTAAACTGTAGACACCTTACTTGCCACCTTACTTTTTTCTCCCCAAATCCGAACCCAAGTTCTACATTAAAAATTCCAAATAAGTTATATGATTTAAGTTGCTTTAGGCTTCCATCTGCAACAGGCAATGGTAAAGTGCAGCGCAGCAAGCAGCAACCTTGTGATCTGGAATCCAGTTTTGCAGATAAAACCCATTAATAGTTCGTTTAAATAAGGCTCCTCAATATGTAACTGAATTAATTTCTAATGCCCAGACTTGCGCACCACTGTTTTTTTGTATTCATCTAGTGTGTAGATGAATACAAAACACACTAGCTTGTATTCATCTAGTGTGTAGTATTCTTCTATGTGTGTATATAGACATATATATATAACTATATATATAAAAAATATATATATACTAGGGATGTATGCAATCAAACTATGAAAATCTTCTCCTGAGGGGATTGGTTCCAAACGCTGATTCTTTTCAGCTAAAAAAACTGACAAATAATTTACGGCCAGAAGATTAAATCTTAAATGAACAAAACAGATAAACGTGCAAGACATTATGTAAGCATCGTTCCACCGTTCCAACTTGCCCAGTTAACTTAGGTCCATCTAAGCACTTACACGGAATTGTATTTAAAAGACCTAGACACGATCAAGCAATTCCTATTGCTGTTAGCATAAGCGTGATATATCTAAATCCCATTTTTCACTGCAGAATGCGTCTGCCTGGGTCTTCTGGAATGAGAGCCTTTGGTTCTAGCATGATGAAAGAATTTGTGGTTTATCACAACTCTAGATTAGTTTTCCAAAGATAAAGATGACCCATCTTCACAGTTAATTGGTAGCGTTAACATCAAGACCTCGACTCTCACTTTAGAAAAAGAAAAGCAAGTATCAAGATCTGAGCATCCCTAGATCAAGACTGGCCTTCGGTCTCAGTGCTGCCCTCCACCTACCCAGAGCACTGGGACACATGGAGCCCAATTACTGCACCTGGGTCCCGGAGCCCGAGCAATAAGTGGATTTCCAATAGATGGGGTAACAGGAGGCCTCTGGACACCTCCAGAGAAGCCCACCAGAAAGCCTTCACGAGCAGCAGCCTCTTTTCCCTCTCTGGAAAGCGAACACCCCATCTGAACTCCTGCACAGAGCACGCCTGCGTGTGCGGGACCAGCTCACAAAGCTCCCAGGTATCTGCCAGACACGTCCGACTTACCGCTCGGCTCCTGCATGCTGCCTTTGGGTCTAGCGGGCAGGCACGTAACTGCAGCCGCCCCGCGCGCCGCTCCAGCCTCTGCTCCCGGTGCCGGGCTGGGCTCGGCACACGCAGCCAGGAAGCCCGCCCAGGCCCCGGGCGCCAGGGGGTTAACAGGGCTCGCGTCAAACCACGCTAAGAGCATTGCACCCAAACACCGCACGCGAGCCTCGAGGGGACGCGCTGGTGGCCAGACAGGCCCCGCCACCAAAACCGTACGCATATACGTGTGTTTAAACACACAGTAATCACTGCAAAGCGCTGCAGCCGGGCAAGCTGTACTCTGCATTAAGTAGCCCGGCTCCGGGGCCTCGCCACCTGTTTAAAAGGCAGAATATTTCCTGCTGCAGCCCCAGGGCTGGAGCTCTGTGCCCAGCTCCTCGTGCACCAAGGCCACAGTGCCCACCGTTAAACCCAGCCTAAAAGTGCTCGGCTCCGCAATTAGCAGCCACACAGCCCGGGATGGGAAGGAGGGAGGGAGCTCTAACTAGGAGCTAATTAGGAGGGCAAACACTGGAGCTCGTTAGCGGTGATGCTAATGAGAATTAGTCTTGAGTGGCAGCAGACTAGCTATTCAGAGCTAATTAGAAGCCCCAGCTGACACATCGTAGCTCTTAAGAGCTTTCAAAAACAAACAACTTGGGGAGAAAAGCGGCCTGAAGTGGAAGCTGCAGCGGTGTGGGGGCACTGGGAGCGTCGGAAAGCAGCAGGAACCGTTGGGAAGCAGCTGGAAGCACCGCGCAGCAGCGACCCAGGGGCACGTGCCCGCGGAGGCCAGCGGGCGACGCGCAAGGCCCACGCAGGGCGGCGCGAGGCCTGCGCCCGCCGGGGCCTTACCTGGGCTGGGCTGCATGGCCGGCTGTGGCGGGAGCGGCCCGGCCGCGCCAGGGCCGCCGCTTTGAATGTCTCCTCCGTGCCTGATTGGAAGCACGGGAGCCACTCAGGGCCCGCGCAGAGGAGCCGGACGCCCCAGGAGCCTCATTGTTCCTGGGACGGGTCGGGAAGGGACCGGCCGGTGGGGGCTGCGGCAGCGCTTTGCGACACATGAACCACCCCAGCGTCGCAGGGCACAGACAGGAGCCCGGGGAGGAGAGGGGATTTTCAACTCCGCTTGCCTTAAAACACGCAGCAACTTAAGCACAAGCTGCTTTTAACTGCGCTTATTAAAGCCAGCGCGCGGGCAGGTGGAGCCCCCGGGAGGGACCCCGGCTTTCGGAGCTGGAGACCCACGCCGGCCGCCACCTCGGTTTCCATGCAAGCAGGTTCACCCCAAAGCAGTTATAAGGATTTAAATATTTAACTTTAGCAAAGCCACTGCCTGTCACACAGTTTCTGTGCCTGCGTGGGAGAAGCGTGGATGTGCAGAGAGGGTGAGAGCAGAGACAGGGGTCATGGCAGCTACAACCCGCAAACATGCTGGCCCCTCAAAGCAGAGCCGTGCGCGCAGGCCCGCGGCGCTCAGAGCAGCCTGCTTGCTCTGGCTGGCGCTTTGGGAAGTACCGCTTTGCCCTGGTGTTTGTGAAGCCGGATTGCGGTTCATCTGGTTTAACAGGACTTGTGAACGCTGCCTGAAGCCAGAGGCCGCATTCCCCCCACACGGAGGCCGTGCAGCTCTGGGCTCCCCCGCTCCGAGATGTCCCAGCCGCCGGCAACGCTCCGTGCTGGCCCGGGATATGATGCGGCACTGGCGGAGGCACTGATCTGCTCACACGTATCCAGACGGTAGTGACTCATTTGGAACTGGTGCCCACGGTGCCCTGGCCCCAGCTGAGGGATCCTGGCTCCTGCAGCAATTCCAGCACCATTACCAGCCTGAGTGAGGCCTGACAGTTCCTTTCCTAAAGGAAAGGAGAGATAGAGGGTGAGGAAGGAAGGAAGGGACTGTCCCAGGGCACTGAGCCCATGGGGGGCACTTATTCGGGGCACAGCATTGTCTGTAGAAGCACAGGTGAGCACTGAACAGTTGGGCCAGCACCTGAGCTGACCCTGACAAGCGGGTACCTGCACATGCTGTAAGGGTTTTGCTCATCAAACCAAGCACAAGCCTGGGGAAGATTTTGCAAGTGTAAGAATTTGGAGCTAAAATAGAAAAGGATCTTCTGGTGGGGTGTAGGGAGGGAAGGCGGTGCCAGCCTCCACCCACACTTAAAGGCCATGAGGTCGGTTTGGTTAAAGACTGAGCCTTCCTCATGGTGAGCAACCAAAGCAGCTTTGTCTGCCCAAGCACATTAACACGTAGCTCTCTTCTCACCAGAGCTCTGTCCTTACTGCTGTCAGGGAACACTGCCAACACTCCCTCTCGTACTTTCATGTCTCATGAAAAATGTTGGGCCAAAGCTTTTCTTTTCCGCACCTGTCTGTCTTTTCAGGCAGGTCGCAGAAGCCTTGGCCCCCTCCATTGCCTTCCAAAACTGTTGGGGAAACAACAGGCTGCCCCTTCTTCCCAGCCAGCCCAGCCCCAGCAGGCATTTTGCTTCTCTGTCCCTTCAGGAGGGACTAATACATCCTAATAATACAAATGGTGTCTTTTCCAATTTATACACATTTAGTTTGCATGTTCCCTCCACAAAGACAAGTTTATGGCTCTAACTCTGTGTTTCCTCCATTTACCTTCTCCCAGCTGGGTTTGCTTTCAGCGTTTGCAGCAGCTCACACGCCACATCCAGCTCCTCCGGCTCTGTGGGAGAGCTTCCTTTGCTCCTCACCTGGCCGCTCCGCACACCTGCACGGGAGGCAGCAGAACCATGGGCACATTTTGCCCCCCTTTTCCCACATCCAGGCTGTGGCCGAAACCACAGGGCAGCTCCTGTCCTCCTGTGGCAGAGCAGCCTGCCCCACTCTCCACCTTTTCAGTTTGTTTCATACTCGGAGCACTGCCTGATGCGCTGGAGTGTTGCAGGCACCAGGGAATGTCAGCAAAGGGGGAATGTCCCCTTGCAGAGCCTGGGATCTCCTTTTCTTTCTGCTGCTCCTTCCTGTGCCTCTGTATCTCTAAGATACCAGCTATCTCAGGCCTAAGGGAACTGGGGATTCCCCCATGCCCTATCCTGCAAGCTATTTGGATTTGGTTGAGCCTCTGTTATCCACGGTTTAATCCAGGTCGGTTTCTGCCCGTGCTTGTGCTAAGAATGTGTGTGTTATCCCTGCATTCTCCGTGCAGCATCTCGGGGCACTCGCCTCTCCACCACCTCCCGTGGGACGTTCACTCCTTCCCCGCAGCCCCCAGCTGCCCCAATTTGCTTTGGGCTGATTCTCCCCTCTCTGCCCATGCAGGGGAAGGCTCTGCAGCCTCCTGTGCTCCTCGCTGCCCAACTCTCTTTGCTCCAGCACCGCCGCCTTCCCCTCAGCTTTGCATTTAAACTTAGATGCACTTCCCAAGCTACTCCTCCAGAACCAGCTCATGCACTCTTTGCTGTCCTTACCCCCTATCTAAAAGCTTTATGCACATCAGGCTTTGGGAGTCTCTGCATCATACTCTATGCCTTTACTCAACCAAAACAGCAACGAGCCGCATTAGTTCAAGGTCAAAGCCAGTCTAAAGCAGCTGCCACCCACATTGGGTCCTTTTAGTGTGGATTCGATGCCCCTGCAGGAGTAGCTTTTGCAGCGCTCACTGAGGCTCACGTTTGCCTGGGTTTATATCTGTATAAACACAGGCCAAACCCATTGGCAAGTATCACACCAGCCAGGGAGCCAGCAAATCCACGTACCCCTCTGCATTTTCACTCGAGCCCTTTTTATTCCTAGCTCCCGGGGAATTAATCTTTCAGGAATTGCTCACATCCACCGTCTTGCCATTTAGCCATGGGCTGAACTGTTGTTTTTCCTACTTCTTGGGGGTGCTTGTCAATGCTTTTCCTATCAAACATTGTCAAAACATTACCTTAGCTTTAAAAGTCCATTCCTGGTCTTGTCTTACTGTGCAAATCCTTCTAAAGAACATGCCTTGCTCATTACCCTTTTAAAAGCGTATCTAACCCTTACTCTCCTTGTCGTTTGTCTGAAGCAGATCTGTAGCTTTTCTCTTGTGCAGCAAATCAAGCCCAGTTACTCCACCCTCTCTCCCCTTCCTATAGATCCAGGTAGGGAATCGAAGAGCCCTCACTGTCCTCTCCATTTGCAGATTATTCTTAAATTCAGATTATGTTTGCCTGCCTCAATGGGCTACAAGCATAAACAGGCATCTCCTGCAGAGGGTTTATTCCTAAATCGACTAAATAAAACCAAGGCAGTTGTATTCCTGGGACTGAACATGCCCCAAGCATACCCTGAAATGAGCGCTCTCACTTCCCACTATCCATATAACCCTGTTGCAGCAATCCCTGTTGGAATATTACCAGTTTCTTTCGCCTGAAAGGCATCACATGCAAGCAAAGGATGCACTTGGGGAGCCATCTGAATGAAAGAAATGGGAACTTGGTTCTGGGTGCTTTTCATAACCAAGTTTCCTTTTCACAGCCAGGCCCAGAGCAAGTAGCGGATCACAGCCCCCCATGACAGCTCAGGCATTGCTGCTTCGGCCTCTTAAGACTGACAGTGCTTTTTTTCCTTCTATTCTAAATATAAATCTAAATTTTAAATAAAAAAAAAAACACATGGAGTGCTGTAATAATTGGGAAAGCTTTCACGTCCTATTTGAAAGG